CCAAGAATCCCAGGTTTCAGCAGCTTCCCCTGGTGAGCCAAAAACAAGTGACTCACCATCACCAGTAACACCAAATGCTACTACAACAACACAGGTACAGTTTTTAAATATTGAAACAAAATCTTCACAATATGATTTTTAGTTTGGCACTATAGCCAGGGGGCGTAGTATCATATGGAATTAACACATTTGCTGTGATTGTCTGCGACTGCGTTTTCTGTTTGGAGGTGTATAGACTAGAAACCTGGATTAGCTGTTGGCAGTGCTTAAATTCCCAGACTGTTGTAAAGCCATAAATTCACTGAAATTCATTATGGCCCGTAGAAGACCTGCAGCTTTCCCAGAAGTTGTTTAAAAGGTCACATCCATGGTTTACTCCAGCTGTTATTGATTACTTTATGTCTGTCTTCATTCTGAGCAAGGTCTTGAACTCATTTAGAGTTAAACTTAGCTGAAACAACATCAGTTGACATCAGTTCCATTATCTCCAGGGAAGTCCATAAGAAATAAGGTTTCCCACATAATTTAAATGGTCTCTCCTCTAGTTTTAAAATACTGCCTAATTAATTTACTGTTTAAGAAATGCAAGTAACCTGCATTTTTATTTTTCTATGAGGTTTTTAGTATTTCCTTGCATTACTTACAAAGAAATGAAAATAATTAAGTCTGCTATGGCAGATAAAATATTGCCTTTATAGTAGAACATTTAAATATATGAGGATTTAAAGAACAATTAATTTAATGAAAACACTTGGACTGTTTTCATAAGAGTTGCAAAAACTAAGTTTTGTAAGAGAATTCTTTTACAACAATTGTGGTTTGAAATGGACAGTAACATCTACTACTCTATCTTTAAACACATTATAAAGTGCTGATATAAAATAATTTGCCAAAACAATACTGAAATGAAAATCATGTGCTACAAATTAATTTCTTTTATCTTATATTAGCTACTGAAAACACAGGCTTATGTGCATAATCACACAGTTATCTGGATACTTTCTAGAATATCTTGTACAGTGCTTGCTTCACAGGTCGTTATCTCCACCTTTGAGTTAATCATTAAGTTTATTCATTAATGAGATACATGCATTTATTTAAAGGTTAATGTGTTCACCTTAAATAGCTTGTGTGTGTAGATTTCTGGCATAGTAATTTTAACTAACTTAAGCTAGGTTAAGAGGAGAGGGCTTTGCTATTAACTAGATTTCTGCAACTTTCCTGGAACTTTTATCTGGATAGAGAAAAGAGATCCAAATTAAGGCTTCAGTGGAGGGAAAGGCAAGCAAGGTTGTCACACATTGTCTGATGGCAACTAGGTGGAACAGCCAGCAAGCTCCAAACTAGCCCGAGTCAGCAGTACTCATCTCCACTTATTAACAGACTGACAGAGCTAGGCAAATGACAAATTGTGCTTCTATTCCAAGTTCTACTTGCCTAGAGGAAACCATTAGTTTCTGTTTATGTGTTGAAAAGTACAAAAAATGTGTTGTATCGATGCTGAATGAGTAGTTAAATTAAGTTTAGGCACATCTGCTGGGCAGTCATATGCTAGAAAAACATGAACTGTTTCTCCTAGTGAGCCTGTTTTTCTCTTATACATAAGTTAAAGCAGCTATATTATCACAGAAAAGTAATTTGTATTTCAGATTGGTGCATTTTACTGTCCTGTTCACATTTACACTTCAAGAAATTACTTGGTGGAAAGACTTGGGTTTTCATCACAGTATCATATATATGAAGTGACTTAGAAATTACATCAGTGAGCCATTGCACTCAGCTTTCTGTACTTTGTATCAACATGCCATGCGTGTATAAGCAAACAGAAATTTCAACAGTGTTGTCATTTTTGTTTAGTTAGCTAAAACATTTTGTATTTGAACATTACTTCTTAAGCAAAAAGTCTGAATTTTATAGAAATACTTATCTTGTAAATACTTATATCTTGTGTCTGCCATCATAAACTGACACAACCCCACAACAGGCATGTGTGTAGTGTTCCAGTGACTATGCATACTAAATCTTGCAGTTTAGTAAAGTATTATCAGGAGCTTTTCTTCCAGCTGGATGCACTTACAGAAGGAACAAAACCACTATACAGTTTAGATTACAGGTTAGGGCAAACTAGCTGTCACTACCTGTTGGCAACTTACAGTTGGAGATGCAGCAAAATGTTTAAAAGAAGCACAGACATAGAAGGGAAAATTATAATTTAATTGTAAGCAAAAGTTGGAGACTTTAGTGCATACAGACTGGCACCTTGGTAATTGCAAGCCCAGAAATACAAAAGAACCTGGACATAAAGTGGCAAAATATTAACCAAGCGTTTTTAGCAAACTAATTGAAGTCCTTTCTGGTACAATCACATGGAAGCATAATAAAGCACAGGAAAAAATTAATTAGGGAGAAGTACTCATCTGACTTAATTAAAATGCAAAGCTTTAGAATATATTCTGAAGAAAAATTATATTTACTGATAGGAATATAAGGGAAACCGATAAGCTTTTATAAAAGAAATATTTTACTAAGTGATCTAATTGCTTTTTTAAATAATGGAAATGCAACTAATCTCATCTGGGTGTAATAGTCCATGGGATTAAACACTAGCAAAACTGGAGAAGATGGAGATTAGCAGAGATAAGGCACAAAGAGGGAAGTGTTGAGTTGAAAGGAAGTTGGTATTAGTGCTCTCCAGGAGTTGATCTGGGGACATTCTGGTTTCATATTACCATTAACGACATAAGAATGAGTCACATAATAGAAGCTGGAAGGTGTAGTCGGCACAGAGTTGGCTTGTTATTATGGGGAAAGAACAGGTTGATCTGGCTTTCAGGAAAGGAATGGAATTCCAATAGAATGGAATAGTTCTTAAAAAGAAAAATACACAACACCTCTTCTCTGAGATCTATTTATGTACAGTCTATATCCCATCAGAGAGGTGGCATTCACTACAGAAAAAAGTGGATATTATTAAGTTAAGATCAGTGAAGTTCTGTTACTATGTAGGAAAACTTCTGGGAATTTTCTGGTAGGTGTAACGGTGCCAGGAAAATAATAATAATAATAACAATAATATCCTACACCTATATCAAATTTACCAAGTTTATAGAAGAAATTACACACATGATGTTTGTAACAGCAAGGGAACAAATACAGTAAAGTTGAGGCTACCAGATCTACCTACACAGTAATATAATTGTGCTGGCAGTCAAAATATAGCAAAAATTCACCTCGTGGCACAGTCAGAGCTGTGGCTGCCATGGAAATACTATAGGGAGCTGTCTCTTCAAAATACATATGCTCTGCTGCTGTGCGATCATTCTGAAACAAGGTTCGTTTTCCTGTGTTGATGCTTGACCTTCATCAAAGGGAGGCTTTCCCAACAAACTAGTTTGGGTGGTAAGATTCTTCTTGTATACACAAAATTTTGACTTCACAGTCAGACAACAGTGAAGGCTTTAATTCTATAGTAATAAAGCAGTGCTCTCTGTAACTTCAGAAGGCTTCTTTAGTGTATGTGTAGTGTGTCTGGGGTCAAATTTGATGTTGTTTCAAGCAGAGTAATAACAAATAGTAGTATTTCTGCTAACAGTTGCTACCAGTGCATTCCATTATTCAGTCAGTTGTTTTTAACCCTTATCTCTCCTTCTGCTTAGAATTAATAAAATTCTGTTTGAACCATATTTCTGTACTTAGTTACATATAAACTTATAGAAATCAGTAATATTTTTGTTCTAGAAGCCTTCATATATGAAACTTGGTAACGCTAAAAAGAAAAAAAAATGTATTGGACATAACTCCTTGTTTTTGACTGACTACCTTGAAGAGAAGATTTCTTTTTTTATCCTTATGCCAGGAGCAATTACTTCAGTGACAGCTGTCAGTTCTAGATGAATTTTTCACTTATAAAGTTAAAAACTGGCATCTATTAGCTAATCTGGTTCTGGGCTACAAATCAAGAGACAAATACATTACAGGAATTTAAGTAAAATGTTCCTGACTTGAATGGATGAGGTCACTTAGGAAGGTCCTTCCAGCTCTTTTTTATGATTTCGTAAGAAAGAAATAAAATGTTTTCATGATACTTCTTTATTTGGTTTCATGTATGTTAAAATGAGAAAAGAATTCTGCAAATTAAAAAAACAGTGTAAATGCCCTTCCTGAGGGCTTTTTTTAAATGTTGTTATAAAGCCTTTTATCATTATTTTGATCTGCAAAAAAAACATATCATTGTATACTCTGAAAATTTATATTAAAACAATTGCTCAATTAGAAGTAAAAACTGTATTAGTAAAAACAGATTTTGGATACAATTACATGCAGTAGTTAAAATGCAGACTAAGAAGTCAAGGTAAGAAACCAGTTTATCTTATTTGCTGTATTTTGAAGTGTGCCAAAAATGTGCCTTTATACAACACTTGTAGACACATATATGTAATAGTCTTGGTTTTGCCATTCCTTCTAAAAATAACTTGTGCATTTGACATAATAATTTTTTTTAACCTTTACATATTTTTTTCAATTATTCAGATGGTGGATGTTTTAATGTTTCTCTTTCTCCTTATATTTTTTTAATACTAGTATCCACCTTTAACCTCTCCAGTTCCTGAATTTCTCAAAACTCCCTCTACAATTGAACAGCACGTTACACGTTCTACTGCTACAACTACCCTGACCACAAATACTGTATCTGCAGCAAAGCCTGGACCAACGTTAGTAAAGGTAGGTATGATAATGGCATCTGAGGACAATGTTCTGAATATATGTCCTTTTCCAGTGCTATATTTAATGAAAAAATACATGAGTCATGTGATCATGCCTATAACTAACAACTGTTACTAGTCTTGAGAAGAATGTACTGGGTTGTTAACAGAAAGCTTTTGTATGCTAAGATCAACCATTAATGCTTGTAGGGAATGGCTCATTATTTCAAGAGGTCCAGACAGCTGACTAAAGTTTTCCAGTAGAATGGTAGATCACATTGCTATGGAAGTTTTAAGAAATAAGGACAGCAGATTTTTGCAATATTGAGTTTCTACTTTCTATTGGTGAAAATAATATTTTCTAATCTGGTTTTGTAGGTAGAATAATTTAGTAGGAACACAGGCAACTGCATTCATAGCCTGCCTATAACCAAACTGGTGAAGAGCATCGCTCCTTTTATGCAACTATTTTCTTAGTTAAATTGTTGTATAAGCAGAATGCACTGTGAGAGAAGTTGCTGTATCCTTCTATTTGAGTATCAGCAGGACATACTGAGTTCTCTTTCCTGCACTGACCAGCATCATGGAAAACTTTTTCAAATACAATTAGAGAGGGGGTTGTGTTAGGTGTCTATAATAATTTATTTCAGCAACTTTGCCAAAGGTATTCAGCTGTGTAATGACTGTAAGTATGCAGACTTCTACCTAACTATGTGTAATTAATTCTTGGTTAAATATACAAGGATGACCTCTAATAGTCAGTTACCAATGAACCTGTTCCAGCTTCCTTAATGCCAGACCTTAATGACAAATTCAGATATCCCTCAAAACAGGCTATCTGTGTAATAAATGTGCATGGATCAACACAGGATTTCTGCTTTGATACCTTCTGTATGACCAACTTTTCACTCAGAATAAATTGAAAGAGTTTGAAGGGAGTTTTACTACATATGCAGGTATTGCTAATAAGGATACTGCTGAAAGTTTCATAAGTGTAATCCTGTAATTTATAGGACTGTCTGTGCTTTTAACATAGAATTGTAAGTACTTCTGCCCTGCAGTGTTTACAGACAGACTTTTAAGATGCTAGTTTTTACAAAGTGCTAGGTGGCTTTGAACTTTCTTGTTTAAGAAGAATGCCTCTTTGTCATGACTAGCAGAATCCCATAGCTTCATTTGTGCCATCTATTAACAAAATATTGATGATGCCTTCCTGTGCACAATATCAGCCAGCTGGAGTATGTTGACTGGAGTATGATAGTAAATGACCCTGTTTGGCAGGTTTGCAGTTAATGTGCTCCTGTAGGCTTTGTCTTTATGTCTTGCATAACTGCTTGTAAATGAACTATCTGTTACAGTTGTTTCTATTATTTCCATCCATAAACAGCAAAGCCACCCAAAGAACCCAAACGATAAGCATCGGAGCAAGAAATGTAAGGAACCTAAGCCAAGGGTGAAGAAATTAAAGTATCATCAGTATATTCCACCTGATCAGAAAGGTGAGAAAAATGAGCCACAGATGGACTCCAACTATGCTCGTCTGCTACAACAGCAGCAACTGTTTTTGCAGCTGCAGATCCTGAGCCAACAGCAACAACACTACAACTACCAGACAATTCTACCTGCACCACTGAAGTACGTGAAGCATTGTTTGTGTCCTTTCCAGAAAAGATATATACATCGATTATACACGTAGTGCTTTAGAAGTAAATGTGTTTTGCAAATGTCAAGAGATATTTGGAACCCTAGAAAAATTAAATGGCATTGTGGGTATTACTTGCCTTATTTCATAAGGTGATGAGCTGGTTCTCTTGTTAAAATACTCCTGAAGTTTGAAGCCTTTAATGGGTTCTAGTTAATGTTTGTGGCACATGAAAACAGAACCTCCTACTGGTCAGATGCATTTTTTCTGACCTAATTCATGTTTGAAACTCAAAAGCATTTATGCTAAAGCAGGAAAGTTTTTACACCAGTTTCACTCAAATATGACACAGATAGGCAGAGCAGAAAAGCTTACAGATCATGGCTTTTGCAAGGTACTATTGTTGTGGTTTGATTGTCTTTATACAACAGTATCACAGTTTACAAGTAAGAAGAAACAGTCATTTAAAATTGGCTACAATGTTTATGTTGTTTATAGCCTCATCTCTAATGGTTGTACGAATTCCTCATCAGTGTTGATCTTTAGCACTTCTAACAGTGAGAAGTATACTTTCTGAATTATAAGTAAAGGCAGTCAAAAAAAGAAATCTTTAAAGGTTTGCCAACACTCAATAGCAGAATGAGATTCTGATTATCTGCAGTTTCCTTTGCACCAAGACCAGTCTTTTCCTAGAAGCACTTAATAATGTAACATGCCACGTCAGACAACCCTACATTCAAATTACTGTCGACTGTTGGTTTTTTTTTAATTAGTTTTCACTGAGTTTTTATTTCTCCTCGGCAAGTGAGGCTAGGGAAGTTGAAGTTACCATCTGTGGCTGTATTTATAATTACCATGTATCCTAACATTTGGATAAGAGATGTTTCTGCCTGATTGCCCACGCTTCTTATGTTTCATTTACTGACATTTCAGAAACATTTCTTCATAAAATCAGCTGAACAAAATAAAAGAGCTCACTTATCTTACCTAGTGTAAATTATGGCATTTTTAAATTTTTACAATTATTTTGAGATGCTTGTAGAAGGTTCTTATGAGTGCAGCTGATAAAAATGCTTTATCATCAGAGTAAACTGCCTTCGTGTTGGTCCCTGTTATATATGAACACTGGACATGTATGTAGGGTTGATAAATAGAGTTAAATATCATGGGGGTTTTTTTAATTGATGTAAAAAACCCCACCCTAACAAGTTGCCTTAGCCGATGATTAATTTGTATAAACTGATTCTGCAGTCTATAATACCCTGTGGAGATACCATGGCAATAAAAACTATGAAGCATGAATTAGGACACTTAAAAGAAAATAAAATATCAACATAGTCCTCTCTGTGCTGTTTTATTAAAATATTTAATGCTTATGTCTTATTTTAAATAATAATATGTTTAGCACTGACATTATTGTCCCCCTTTTTGTCATCACTTGAAGGCCACTGAATGACAAACAGAGTAACAACGGGAACACACCACTGAATACCTTGAACAGCAGCACACCCACATCAGCTGCCAGCTCACCAAGACAGAACAGTAATATTCCAAACCGGAAACCAGGACCTCTGCCTTCAAGCCTGGATGACTTGAAGGTAAAAGAGTAAGAGGGATTTGTCCATTTCTGTGCATCACTATAGGTCATAACTTGCAAACTGTTACTGTCAAGAAAAAGCTCGGATATCATTTACCAATGAAAAGTGAAATTTTCTTTTGACTATTTAGAATAAGTTTGTCAAAATTTTCATATGCAGCTCTTTTGGACTTAAGTATTTTTTTTCATTTAGCCTCCTCACATGCACATGTTCTAGAAATGACAGTTCTTTCCCAAAGAATTAGAAGAATTATAATTTCAGATAAATTGTATAAGTACCTAATTTGATACCTATGAGGTGCACCTAATGTGAAGTTCCAGCCTTGGTAGATTTAAACGCTGGAAGAGTAATTTCCTTATTACCATTTTCGTATCTCAATGAAGAGGTTTAGTAAGCAGTAGAAATTAAAAGATGTCCTAATAGTAACACATGGAGAGGTCACTGCTATAAAGCCAACACAGAAACACCAGTAAAAGAAAATGGAAAACAAGAGATGGTCTTATGAGAGTTCAACACATCATCTCAAAATGAACACTAAATTCAATAAAAGCTTCTTCAAGTTATAAATTATGAGCATTGCATAGGATTTTCTTCCTTCAGAGATAGGCTAGCAGGAATTAATACTGTGAGGGACCTAATGAGAATAAATCTGAAGAAGCTTGTTGGGATTTAGATTCAGATTCTTTCAGTAGCAACTAAAGGAATGTGCCAAAACTGAGTGGAGCAGTAAGGACACCTAGTGGGCAGTTTACTCATTTCTCCCATTACCAAGGTGTGCTGTGTTTCTGAGGGATGGGAGTGAGTATATTTTTAGACTTGAAGGGGTAAAAAAATAAGTTTTCAAAGATTAGATTCTCAAGACAGTTACGTATTGTCAGTTAGTGCCAATCTTTTAATATGAAACAAGTCTGTAAAGTGCAATTCAAACAGTGTTTGAAATAAGCTTTTCAAACTTTTATCAACTGCTAACTTTTTAAGATATTTAAGCTAATATCTGAATTTGTGCTTTGCAGCAGTAAAAGCTGTTCACTTAGCCACTTCTGCATAATTTATTGGTATTCCTGCTAATGTGGTAACAGGAGCATAAGCTATGCTTGCAGACCTGCTGCTGGTGGTTTAACACTGAATAACCTAAATCAGTTCTGATTAAGAATTCAGAAATGCATTGCTGAAAAAAACAAAAATTACAATGCACTCCCAACCAAGTGCAGAGGATACCAGACTGAGGGAAACAGCTGATAATCTTGGTTAGGTAGACTGTAAGTAGCAGGTCATGGCAGTGTGCACAACAATCATGCATGCTGTCAGAACCTAGAGGTGTAGTAACTAGCAAGTATGCACTAAAGTAGAATGTATATAAGTAATTAATAATATTTTAATTTTTTAATATTGTGTTTTATTTCAGGTAGCAGAGCTAAAAATGGAGTTGAAGTTGAGAGGATTACCAGTCTCTGGAACAAAAACAGATCTTATTGAGCGATTGAAACCATATCAAGATCTTAATAACAATGGGGTGGCTACTAGTAGCTCTGTTACAGTAACCACTTCTACTGGGGCCACAGGTAGCACAGGGGAAGTGACTGTGGCCTTTCCTGTTGCAACAGTAAATAAACCAGTGGCAAATACAATAACCAGCTTTCCTCCAGAAAAAACATCTACCGTGACTGGCGGCAAAGTAGTAAATACAGAAAACATGGCCTCTCCTTTGCCTATATCTCCTTCTCCTTCAGAACAATCTAGTTTAAGCACAGATGATACTAGTATGGCAGATACTTTCACAGAAATGATGACCATGATGTCACCATCCCAGTTTTTAAGTACTTCACCACTAAGGGCAAATACAAGTGACGATAATCAGAATCGCAGTAGTGGAAGCATCTCAACCATGGAGTTTGATGTAGCAGAAAAGGACCGCAAGCTTCAAGAGAAAGAAAAGCAGATTGAAGAGCTCAAAAGGAAACTGGAACAAGAGCAAAAACTCGTGGAAGTACTGAAAATGCAACTTGAGGTTGAAAAACGAGGACAACAGCAACAGTCTCAGACTTCTGGTAACTCAGCTGCTTTGGAACAGAAGCAACTCAGTGCTGCTGTCAAAGATGAAAATGCTCTTACTGAGTGCTCCAGTACAAATCAGTCTGTACCTGTAGCTAGTCATTCTTTAGGACAATCAGTATACACTAGCAGCCAGAATCCAGTTGCCAAAAAGGCAGTTGTTATCAAGCAGGAGATACCTGTGGCCAAAGCTGAACCTCAGAATGCCATTTCTCAATTTTATGTTAATCCACAGAGGCAGCCACAAACTGCAGTTGTTGCCACACCTCAAGCTTTATTAACTACCCAAGGAACTGCACAGCTGCTCCTTCCACTGTCTATCCAAGGACCGAATTCTGCCACTGCCGTGCAGCTACCAGTTGGAAATATAAAGTTGCAGGTAGGGGTGGTTTTATTTTTCTCCATGTAAATTGCATGGCACTATTTGCATAATTTCGTATAAACAGGTAAATGTGCTGCTTGTAAGATTAACTTAAAAATCAGACTTGGCTTCTTTCTGCTTTAAGGAAAAGAGTACAAAAACTTAAGAGCCAATCTTTTCACAACTTCTAGTACTTGCTTTGCCACTTTTGTTCCCAGATACTCTTTCCTGAAAAGTAAGTGTTTTACCATGTACTGCCTCCATGCACACTTAGTTTTTATTTATACCAGCATATGCCACTGTTTTGTTAACTCCAAATTGTAATAGAGAACTACAAACGCAGAAACTTTTTTTGAGGTATACCTGCTTGCAACATGTGTGTTTGAACTCCCTTGTGCAGTGATGGCTCATTATATTTTAAAATGTGAATGCTAGGTTGTAGAACTCCAGTGGAATTATAAAAAGAAACCATGGTTACACAAATATTATTTCTAAGTTGATTACAGGAACTATCACAGTGAATACAGCATAAACCATTATAAGTTATAAATGAAGAGGTATAAGAGCTGACCAAGCTGAAACAGTTCAACCTGTTTGTCTAAGGTAGAATTAAGCATATATTTCCATCTGGCGTTACTGGGACACAGCTAGATGAAATCCCCTGCCACTCACATGATTATTGTGCTAGGGAATTAGTTTTCCAGCTCCAGTGTGTGCTTGGCTGTTGTGGCATGTTGTGAGCCTAGACTTTGGGGCTAACACACGCACCATCACATTTAGTAATACATATGAGGGCTGTAAAATTCTGATGGGGATGGGCCCCACAGTCAGCACTGCAAGAGCTATTCCTGGTAGCTATCCACTCAGACAGATATTTGTCTAAATTGTTCTAAAATCCTGCTAGAATTCTGTAACAAGAAGTATCAAGTTTTCATAACTACCAGCTAATATTGTCTTCCTTGAGGTTGGACACAGTTCTTGCCTTTCAGTGGCCATTAAAAACTACTATGATCTTAAAAACAACCTTTTTCTTACATCATCAGTTTTGTCTTCCCTGTTACTCAAACCCAGTCCTTACAGTCCTTTCCTACTGGTTATGTTCTATCTCTTTATTATTTTCATTGCTTTCCACTGGATGTTCTCTAGTTTGTTTCTATCTTTCTTTAACTCTGATCGCAAAAGGAACACCACCTTTAAATGGGAACTCCCCAGTACCACACAGTAAAAATTTTGTCTCCTATATACAGTTCACAGTCATCTTTCCCAGAACACATGCTATTGTTGTTCTGCATAATCTATGCAATAGATCTTTAGATTACGTAATTTACTGTGAGATACAAATAATGTAAATATTTTATCTTCATCCTTTAGGCTCAATCACAAGCTGGAATACAGACCCCATCACAAATACCTGCTCCTATTTCTTCCTCTGGCCTGGTCCAGACAGCACCTCAGATGCATACTCCACAATCAAAACCAAATACCATCACGCAGCATGCACTTGGTCAGACCCAACAAATCAGAAAGGTTTGTGCATAGCAATAAGCATTAAGATAAACAGTTGTGTGATCTAATTCTAGGCAGTGCTTTTACAATCTTTTACGTATCATCTGCACCATATATAGATGATCAAGTCACCTAACATCTGTACCATGTTTTTCTGGATGATATAACACAAGGCTTGTAACTCCTTCTCTTGCCAAAATATTAATCCATTCTGGACTTTATTTTTCATTTGCAAATAAAAATGTAAGGCTTTTTAACTCAATGGTGCTCTTACAGCACCAATCTTGCTATGTTCTTCCTCATGCTTGACACTGGTGCTCTACCAGGTATTCCAGTCAGTTTCTCTTGCTGCTGGCTCAAAATGGAAGATGTTTGTTGGCTGTTCTTAAGAGAAAGCTTTTACCTGTGGCTTCTGAGATCTATTATTTCATAGGAGTTCCTTTTACTTTCTATACTTTCCTTGTTGATTTCATCCTTACTGACGAAGAAAGATGAGGACTCTGATACTGAGGATAGCAATTCCAGTGAGTCAAAACCCTATCATGTCTACAGTACCTCTCTTCCTGAGGAATGCAAGGAATGATTCAGATATCCTTCTCTTCCTGTCTACCCAAAACAATCAGCTCTGAAATGTCCCATTCCAGAACAGATGTTCATCAGCATTGGATGCACAGCTGTGAGGGCCAGTCCAGCCATGTTCATATGGTAACTGATAACAACCCATCAGCACCAGACACCACAAAAGAAAAGGCTTTCTCCTCCTTTGAGCCTTTTCTAGGCTGACATCTATCATGAGGAACTCAGAGATTGGTTTTGGACATTTATTGCTTCCTTATCTGTGCTGTTGACTCTAAGCCTCCTATCACTTAGGATAACAAGGGTTTTCAGCCTGCCTTAAAGAAAGGGAAGAAAATACTGAAATTTCAAGATGAAGAGGGTAATTTTTACTGTATGTTGTGTAACTCTTAGAAAATTTCTCAGCCTTCAAAGTTTGTATTTCTGTTTACAAAAGTGCATCATAAACCCCATGTTCTGGTGTGATTTGGGGCTTCTGCCTTTGCAGTGTCCTCTAATTTCCTTCTGCTAAGGCTCTTGTTCCAGATACAAATTGGTCTTAGAAGAGGTATGATTAAGCCCTGCCATTCTATCTAGACAGCTGGCTAATAAGGGGAACCCAACTTAATGAGCATCATTGCTCTTCAGACTGCTTGTTCAATCTGTTGAATTTCATGGACATAGAGGTTATTCTACATAAGTCAGAACTGACATACATCCAAAAAGCAGATTTTATCTAGGTTCTCTGGGATATGGTGAGGGGCTAATCTTACTTTTTTTAATTTGACAGGTCCCGAATACACATGCTAATTCTTAGGGCATGTACTTGTGCCAGAGACTAGCAGTTTGCTTCCCTTGCTGTCTAGAAGTTCCTTGAAATGATTGCAGGAGATAACTAAGAATTGTACCTTCTAGACTTTCCCTCTATTCAGATCAGTTGTCATGGAGACCACATAGTTCCCAGCAGACTTCAGTCTCCATCTGGCTATCTTGGAGCTCAACAGCCTGCCTATCCAAGGTGTTCTTTCACCCATCTACTGAAACCAGGCAGCCTAATTGCAGTGGCTTGTAACATAAAAATGTAAAACATTTCTGTGACACAACAGATCAGGACAGCCTTCATGCATTCAGCATTAGATCTACCTGTCTGCTGTTTGCAATGCATGAGACTTGGGTATTTCTGCAGGTAGATCGAGCTAATGAACTGTGAATGAGTGATGCTACCTATTAATGTAACACTTTTTAATTAAGCTGGCCTTCCTAATAGCCATCACCTCGATAAATAGTTGTTTTCCAAAACCAGTTTCCCTTTAATCCATCTCAACTTTCTCAAGAAGCTCAGATTTTTATGCAAACCAGCTGCCTATTCTATTTATTTTCTCCTACATACTTGAGGTGGCTCTTCACATTCTAGCTACCACATGGTCCTTGCTCTTTAGCTAATTCAGTAATAAGGAGATAGCTCCACAGCTATTCACCTCAGTGGCAGACAGCTGCGAAGTACAACTGTTTTGATACAGATGATCCAGGTAGCTAAGAAAAACTGTATTAAGCCCTCTCACACCAGACTTAATGTGGTATTCAGACTGTACTCCACAAAGCTTATCCCAACTTTATCTCCATCCCCAATTTAAGATTTGTCACACCTTTGTCATAAAGGTATCTGGGAGTGATACTGAATTTAAAAGAACAGTCTTATGCACTCATACAATCATAGCTCCTCTTCTCCCTTTGACTTAAATGTAATATAAGTAGGATACTGCTTGGAATAATTTGCAAGAGTATGGACTATCACTTGAAGTAGTTTAATACTACTAACAAAATTCACAGTTGATAGTCAAGTTCACCAGTTGTATTCTCCCTCACTACTCATAGATATCTGTAGTTAAAAGAAATTAGAAACAAACCATTCTGTCTTAAAACAGGCAGCATAGGACAAATGTGGATACATATACTAGTTTGTATCAAGCCACAAATAAGTTCACTTTATTGACTGTCCACTAGGTGGGGAAATCATGCATACTGTATTAAACTGTTCCATATTTTTCTGAATGTGTTTTTGAAAAATTGTATTACACTTTCCTCATGCTTCCTAGAAAATTGCAGGAAAATAGTTATCAGTGATAAATGAAAGCATCTCACAGTACAAAGCTGCTTTCAAATAGTAATTGTTTAAGATCTACAAATTATTCTGCTGGAGGGAAAAATCAGCACCAAAAAAATATCCCTTAATAGGGAATTGAAACAATCAAGGTTTGTTTTTTTTTTTAAGGCTTAAACTTTAATTGCGTCATTTACCCAGTGTTGTTGTGTTTTTTTTACAAACCACAACCTAAAAATGATGTATTAATCCTTCACAGGTTTTTCCACCTACCACATCAAATACAGTATTTTCCTATCAGGCTGCACCAGTTACAACACCTTCACAGTCTTTTATTAATAAAACATCAAACTCTAACATTCACACTGGTGGTAATCAGGTTCCCTCTGCGCAGAATGGACCTTCTCCTCCTAATAAGGTAAGATTTGCCTAACAATGTTTTATAAAGTTCAGATGATTATTATGATTATTATTGTTATTATTACTACTGCTACTACACAGGATTGTGCATACTGCAGTTCAATCAAGTAAGAACAATGTATATTTTAATAATGCATATATGTATATATGTGTGAGAAGGAGAGAGAGAAATTAATTTTATCCCTTGTTACCTATGCTATTATTATTTGTAAACATGTAGATTGGTACAATGAAATAGGATAATCTCTAGAACTTGGTCCATTCTTAATTCACTAAAAGGTATTTAGTAGTTACTTTGTTATTGCACGCAGCCTGGCTCTCCATCTCAAGCCCAGCCTTATATTGTTCAACAGACTCTCTTCAACAACACAGTATCCAAGACAAAAGATCCTCCTCGTTATGAAGAGGCCATAAAACAGACCCGCAATATTCAGACATCACACCGTGAGGTAGTTACTTTCTCCTGTCTATTAAAAACCGTGTTTTTTTTCCCCTTGGAATTATCAAAGCTATTGCTTACTTTTATCTTTTGTTTGGTGTCTAGATTTTCGAACATACCCTGTTAATATTTTTATAACTGTCTTTAACTACAGGCCTCGTGTTTCATGATTCTTTTTATTAAAGCAGTGGACATGTAAATAAGTCTTACAGTATCCAGTTGGGGATACATGTAATTGGGGCAGTGCTGCTATTGCTCCTTAATAACTAGCCTTCAACTGACATGTTTCAAGGATGTATGATACCCAAACTTCAGACTTAAAAGACAGGAAATACATTCCCATTGTGCAAAGTGAGTAAACTTAAGGAGCATTTGTGTGTGTTTTTATACACGCTTAGGCAAACATGCATATAGGTGAGATAGGTGTTAGCTCAAAAAAAAGTCTGTAATTAGCTTGATGAATAACCTTGGAGAGTGCTCTGTCATTTTACCATGACACCCTTCATGTTGGAGTAAAGCTGCAAACAAAATAACAAGCATCCCTAACCTCATGCATTTCAGAACTATTCCAAAAGATAAAACCTTGTAGTGACTTGGTATTAGTTGCTGGGTTTGTTATGGCAGATACTGGGCAGAAGCTTGGGTATCTATCTAATGCCATTTATATGTTACTGGTATGTGTAAGACATCCTTGCACTGACGGCACACATGTTGTATTAAGTGATTCTATCACTTCCCTTTAGCAAAGCGCCTCCCCAGTGGCCTCAGGAGCTAGATCTGATGACAAATTACTTCACAGCTCCAGAGTAAAATAAAAGCATTAAAACACTGTTTTAGTTTTGAGGCCATTGGAAAAGTCTCCGCTTTTCCTTGAATGTTTTTGAAAGAATAGGTTTGTGGGAGGTTTGTTATCTTTTGGTTCTTCAAGAGGTGGATGTTTAAAACAAACCAAAAAAAGCTGATGAAAGCTTCCCCCCCTTTTAAAAAAGCAAATAACATGAACATACAAATTAAAAGAAACCCACATACCTAACAAAATGCACCTTACATGGTAGTTGTTTGCAGGGTATCTCAGAGCAAGAGTGCACCCCAAAGTTCTGCAGTTATTCCAGATACCTACCCTGCCACAAAGTAGTTAGTAATTCTCCTTATGCTTGGTTTTCTTCACCTCTTTCCTAGGTTGCCTCCAGATCTTTGCCTCTCTTTTCAGATTTTTTCCGTATTTCTTTCTACTGAAACTGATCACAGAGATTACGAGTGTTTCTCCAAAACTATTTCTCTGTTTTCTAGATTGACAGTTTCATATGATGAATTTTAGTTTTGATCATAGCTTAGTATTTATGTATTATTGAGAGAAGCTAGCATCAGTCAGCTCTAGGAAAAATACTACAAGAAAAATAATAACCCTTTTCTCATGCACTCCAGACTTCCAGTGCACACAGTCAGCAGATGGATGATCTTTTTGATATTCTCATCAAGAGCGGAGGTAAGCTAATTCACATCTGTGTGAGGTAGTTATTTAAAATCTGATAATAAAAACTCATTGCTGCAATCAAACAAAAGAATTTTTCCAGGGAGAGGAGGCAGAAGTTATCCAGCTTGGATGAAACTACTATTTCTGAAAGGTTGCAATAATTACCTATTAAATAAAATGTTTACCAAAACACAGTCAACTTGCTGTGGGACTTCTCTGCTTGTAAAATAGCCCAGTCAGACCTTTGCAATAGCTCATACAACATTCAGAGGATTAAAATAACAACTTTAGGCTAGAACAGACATATTTTATCAAGATTGGAAAAAGTTTAGCAAGTCCATATAATGTATATTGAAAATATACAAAAAGTAGAATAAGGTAAGAGTTAAAGGATTATGATACTAAAATTTCATTAAGTATAACTATGTTTTATAAACTGTAAACATCAGAGATACATTACTGGAAAAAGTATGTATGAACTAGAGGCATTAATGAGTAACAACTCTATGACAGTTAAAATAAGGGAGCTATCAGAAAGGAGCTGAAATAACTTAAGTAATATACAGAGTAGCTTTGCAGTAAAAGAAGGAGCCTTTCAGGCGTAATTAGGCTTTGTAGAATAAGAAGCCATTACAATACTGGAAAATGTTCTGGTGCCAGGCAATTCAATTAGCTTAATGTTTTGTACTACTGTCATACAAGATCTTGGCAGCAGTGAATGCCAGGACGTGACTGATTTTAGAATATTAGAGGATTTTAGCCATATTCTAAGCATCAAAGTATCTTCTCTTTTTTGAAGCAAATTGGAAAGTCAGCTGAAGAAAATTAAGTGGACTGTGACAGACTGAGCAAAGTGACCTTTGCAGTGTACAACTCAAGCTACATTAAAAAATTCTTTCAGTGCTTTCATTAAAATACTGCATGGTAGTTAGAAGAAGTTCTGCCTCTGGAACAGAAAATGTAGGAAACACTGGTGTGCTTACTTAATTATTTGCTTCGAGTCCTACATTACTAAACCGATTTGATCTTAAAGGTGAAACTCAGTGTACAACTCAAGCTACATTAAAAAATTCTTTCAGTGCTTTCATTAAAATACTGCATGGTAGTTAGAAGAAGTTCTGCCTCTGGAACAGAAAATGTAGGAAACACTGGTGTGCTTACTTAATTATTTGCTTCGAGTCCTACATTACTAAACCGATTTGATCTTAAAGGTGAAACTTCTCCATGTTTACAAAGTTACCATAAAAAAAAAAAAAAGCAAATATTTCCTGACTGCCTTTATGAAAAGTGAAGGAAAGCATTCAGGGCTCTTGCACTTACTTAAATGAGGTCTACACTGAAAAGTCTTCAGTTCATGAACATACAGAGAGTGAGAGGGTCTGTTTGGTTATGCTTTGCTTTTACTAAGCAGTCATTTCAATAAGTGTTCTTACAGGTTTTAAGAATGTAGTTTGCTTAGAAAACCGGTGCAAAATATATTGTCAGGTATATTTTTGCTGACAAAAAACATCATCTGTGCTAGAGGATTTATTTGCATATTATCGTTTGTCTCATCTTATTTGTGGACTCCATTTGCATATAAGAATTAATTGGAACATTGTTTTATTTCCTTCTATTGTTATTGCCACATGTAACTTCTGGACAGAAGAGTAGATTTAGCTTCCAGAATCAGCAATACATGTATAAATAAATAAATAAATTGTATCAATTGATCTTTTAGACTCTTAATCCATGAAGGTGGACACTACTAAACAGGGATGGAACTGAAAATTGGTTCAGGTTGTCTTCTCTAAATAAGGAAATGAGGAGACTATTCTACTTAGTCAGAAGAACTGTAATCATGAAAGAGGTAAAGCTAACATCTAGGAAATTGGTCCTTTTGTCATTAATATAAATAGTATAATTGGCTGAAGTATTACTGAAAGCAGAACTCTGGAACTTGTTTTTAAATACTTTGTGTGTTCAAAGACCTGATGTCATCTCATCTATGTAGTGTTTGTATAATCAGACCAGCAAAATTACTCTTACTCCATGGAGTTTGCCATAGATGCATCTCAAAGTGGGCAAAACAAGAGGTGGAAGTTGCAAGCCTGAGGATATATGTCATAATCTTTTCTGAATTTGTGTTATTTTTTTTGTTACAGAGATTTCCCTTCCAATCAAGGAGGAACCATCTCCCATTTCTAAAATGAGACCAGTAACAGCCAACATCACTACAATGCCAGTCAACACAGTGATATCACGCCCACCACCACAAATCCAAATGGCCCCTCCTCCTGTGTCCTTAGAACCAACAACCAGCTTATCTATAAGTTTGGAAAACCAACTTGAAGCCCTCTTGGATGGAACTTTACCATCAGCTAATGAAATTCCTCAACTTACAAGCAGTAATGAGGACAGAGAGACATTTTCTTTAATTGAAGACCTCCAGAATGATCTGCTTAATCACTCCAGCATTTTAGATCACTCTCATTCACCCATGGAAACATCTGACCCACAGTTTACTGCTAATAATTCTTGTCTGTCTCTTGATCTTCCTGATACAAATTTGGACAATATGGAATGGCTAGACATTACAATGCCCAGCTCCTCATCTGGACTCACTCCTCTCAGTTCTACTGCTCCCAGCGTGTTTTCCACTGACTTTCTAGATCCACAAGATCTACAGTTGCACTGGGATTAAGCTATAGCCAATGAGAACATGACCTGCGAGTCTCCTTACAGCAGAGGTCCATCATTATATCATTCTGATGGCAGTTAAGATAAATTAAGACAGTAATATTTGGAAGAACAAATGCTTGAAGCTAATTCCTTATTGATTTTCAAGTTTACAACAGTGAATTACTTCATGCTCCTGTCAGTAATGCAGATCAGGGCCCTATGAAAGCTGTATTTCACAAGTCAAGAAATGATTGTACTTACTGATTGAAGTACCCCAAGGTAAAATGCATGAAAGAAATTGTGTCTCTTGACTTCATAATGTTTAAATGAGCAACACTTAAGAGACGAAAAAGTGAGATTTCACCTGTGTATAGACAGTGAGCAAGTGTTTGGGGGAGGGTGAGGTATCACTGCACTTCATTGTTCCTGTGGATAGCCTGAGCCAGGGTCAAAATTAATTGTGAGGGCAAAGGCAAGTAGGAGCACTGGCTGGTTCAGTGACATTTCATATATCTAGTCTCTTAATTTGTTCAACTTCTTTTTATGTTTTGTTCTTGTGGGTTTTAAAACTCTTCCCTCGTTCTTTAATTATGAGGGAAGAATTTAACTGCATCCAAAGGGACATTAAGTGTAAGTGTAAGAAATCCACTGTAGCTATGCCAGGTAATATTGAGAACACTGAATTTTGTATAGCAATGCTCTGGATTAAATAGCTAGGTTTTATGTGTATATCAGACAGTTATTTGTATACTCTTTTAACTTTGTATAGCCTATTTTTGTGAACAGAGGGGAACAGTGGTCTTCAGATGAGATTACTATAATGGAAATAATAAATATCCTAATTTGTGTTTGAGGATATTTGTTAGCTCATTGAATCCGTTATCTCAGTATATTAGAACAGTTTGAGGAAGTAGAAGAGTTTAATAAATGCTGTTGTGCACTATGATCCTGCAAGCATCTCTGCAAAAATAGTCCCAATGCTCTCAACAAAAGATATTTTTAGGATCAGACTGAGTTGCAGGGGACAGTACTGACAGGACAACCATCATTCCTTAATGAATACTTCATTGAACAGCTTTGTCTACCACTACATAACATCAGGGAAGCTAAACAGAGAAGGTGCTTGGTGAGAATCCGAAATAGCACACACTTGTAGAAAATAATAAAAGGCTAATAAGCAGTATCAGGATGTACTGCTTTGTGATAAGAAGGCATATTTCATATGTGAAACAGATAACAGCAAAAACAAAGCTCTTACCTCACAACACAGGACATGAAAATATTTTTAAGCCCTTATAAAAGCAGTTGGAGAAACAAACAAAAATGCAAATAGAAGTAAAATCTTGGTAATTCTATGGTTGTCTCTCAGGTAATAGCTGTTGAATGTTGCCATATATGATGTAGGCTGATAATAAAACATTAAATTGAAATTATGTCCTATTAAGGAATTTCTGAATTAAGATGAAAGGAAACAGCCCCCTGTTTCCTGAACAGCAGAAATGTCTTATGTTTTCTAGTCTGAAAACTGATCCTGCTGCAGAATTCCTTCCTCACCACGAACCTTCAAAAATTAAGTTTTGTAGGAACTAATAAAAAAATGCCCTGAAGCTTTTGCTTGCTTCTTACAGTAATTATATGTATCAGTTTCAAAACAGTAATGAAAACAGAAAGTAGCTGTTAACTATTTAGCAACCTGTAACACATTTAAAAGAAAAAAATCCAAACACAACACAATCATGCTAACATCAAACAAAATGCCCTTGTCAGACAGTGTTGGGGAATTAACTGAAAATTTATGTGTCCAGATACACAATGCAGTTTGGTTTACTAATATTACACAATTCCATTGGCTTCAGATAAAATAGTGAACTATATAATTTATTCAGGGTTTAAACTAGCATTATGTGTTTGCATCATATCAGTTATCAGCACTTTAATTCATTATATATCTATAATGGTTTTACAGGCCAGGATTTACTTTAATCTGAAACAAAGTACAGGAAAACAATATGGAGGTTTTCATAACAAAAGATGAAGTTGAAAGACATATTTCCTCATTCCTTCTTGCTGTGCCTACAGTACTTGAGTACAATATTACATATGGACTGTCTGCCTTAAATTTTGATGGTATAGGACTCTTCAACAACATTGAACAAATATATTCAACATTTTGCATTCCTTTTCCTCATGTTATCTTGGGAGCTAATACTCTGAGATACTAAGTGCCCTCAGCTGTTAAGAGAATAAGAACTAAAGACTCTTGGTCTGATATGAATGAATGAATGAAATCTAGTGTTCTGCAGTACTGTCAAATTATTATGTGTGATACACCAGACATCATACCACATGTGTGGTTAGAGTTACCCCTTTTTGACCCTGCCTTCTGATTAAATAAGAGGCAAGTAAATTAATTTTTAGAGGACAAATTAACTTAGAGCAACTGTACTGTCATTTTTGATGTGCATGTAAATAGAGCTTGAAGCTGACAAAGTCATCTTGCTACAAAATTATCCTTATTGGCAGTGTAGAATGTTAATGAATCCATAGGAATCTATGTGCAGAAATAAACCCAAACAGTTCAGATGTGTTGTTATCAGTATGGTATAGCTTTTTACTTTAAAAGTCTATTTGAAAAAAATAAATAAATTACAAAATTAAGGGATCATTTTAGTTTTTAAAGTACAAATACTCTAGACTAGGAAATGTGTGATTACTTTTTTGTACATTTCAGAATTATGTGTATTAAACCTTATATATAATGGTTTGCTTTAGACTTTGTTCTGAAATGTGGTATCTTTGCCATAGTTATATATGCCTGTTATGGCAGAATTTTTGCTTAGACTTCTGTGTGTGCATGTTTTACATGACAGTTTTTGTAACACCAATACAATTCATCTTAGAAATTTAATCATGACTGTGCAGTTTGGCTGTACAGAACTGAATATATTTCTCATTAAGAGAACAGTTGCAAAAGGAATGCACTGGCACTAAATTTGCCATCTAATGCTTGCAATATACCAGTGGAACACATCCTATCAAATGTGCTGTTAGTAGGACCTTCAAAGTAATGAAGAATATACCATTTTATCTGTTTGAAAATGAAAAGTTGATGTTTACACTGCCAGACACAGAGAGAGCTCAGACATGTTTTACAAGGTTCATGTTAATCAAGAGGAATCACATCCTGTGTTTAATGCAGAAATGGTATTTGTTATGCACTCCTAGTGCCATTCAGCATTAATTAAGGCATGTTCGTTTACACGCAGAATTTTGTTTAACATGATAATAGTTAAGAAATCATTGTCATAAATTCAGCAGTTCTCTCTGAGAATAAAATGAATTTATGGCAGTTGTTCTCTACAGAAATTCATAGTCTAATCCAGCAACGTGGGCTTGCAGAATTAGACCTTTAAAAAGCTGAGGCCACAGCTGTTAGAAATATTCACTACTTAATACTGAAATTTCTTTCAAAAGTATTTCTAAATTCACTAACAGGAGTTAGGCTCAAGGAAGCAGGTGATCAAAACAGAAGTTTCAATATTAAAACTTTTATGTTACGTAATCTCAAACATTTAGATGCCAGAAAAGTGTAGGCACTTTAATTAGAAGCCAAACACAAGCTGCTGAACTGCTTTCAAGGCAGAGAAAATGCAATCACAGAATACATGTAACTGGAAGGGCATTATGTAACCAAAACACAGCAAAGCTCACCGGTGTAAACAGTTATTTGGGTGGCATCTTCAGTGTAATATAAACTTAAAGCAAATTCTATTAAAACTGGAAACAAAATTTCTTCCACCTATCTCTAGTAAATGTTCCGTTAAAACTCTTTAAATTGTGCTTTATTGAATTCTCTTTTGATGACTTCTAGACCATCCTACAGATGGCGTTTTATGCAAGATACGTGGAATGGAGTTGCCTGTGGCTTATTCATGGCCAATAAAGAGCATCCATTAAAACCTGAAGTGATCTCAAATATTCCTTTTATACCAGTTTGCTAGGAATAAATATAAAGTGCAAAAAAAAGAGACAGGTACATCATTCTGTAGTGTCCAGTACTGAATATAAAGACTAAGTTAAAAATGCATAAATGTATTTGTAGAAATCTAGCCAAAAAAGCCATTCTAGCTATGAGAGCAAATTCTCAATAAAAAGCAGGGAACGGTTAATAAGTATATAATCACACTATTTTTATAAAAAATACAGTTCAGATATTCAAAAGACAGCCTAAAATAAATTATAATAATATAAACATTTAAATAGGAACCAAAGCATTGCCATTTATATTGCCAAAGGAGGCACTTTGTATTTTGAAGCATAGGAAATTAAATCCCCTAAAGTATTATCCATACTTTTTTTAAAATCAAGGATGTAGATATTTTCAAAGCTGTTTTTGATGTTTAACAGTACAGATTTGTTTTTGTTGTTTGAGAAATTTGTATTAAGTAATAGCACAGGCTTTTTTCCAGATAGGAATTTTCTTCACAGTACTGCTTGCAGTAGAAATAATGCTAACCCTAAGAGGTGTTTCTCTTCTTTTTTTCATAGTCATAATTATGTCTTAGCATCTCATTTTCTGAAAAGAAGAAGATAGACATCTGTCTCTAGGGCCCTCTTTATTTAAGCACTACTTTACTAAATGCAAATTATGGCAATCGGGGCGTCAGTTTATGTATTGCCTTTCTACAAGAAACCATGATGCCTTTGTATTTGCTGTTTGCACCCCTAAAATCATTTCCATATGTTTGAATGCCATATGTTTTGCACATTGTATTGTATATATGTAATGCATACTGTATTTTTATATGTGTACTACATTTATCAAATATTTTGTACATAGTGGCAATATTGTAGCTACTGAGGAAATGTTTGATATTTCAGCATTTTTGCTAAGTGTCTCAAATAAAAAAGAAAAACTGTGTTCATTTGTCTGTGCTTACTACTTAAAAGTGAAAAATACAATTAATAATCAACAAAAATTCTGACTCTTAGGAGTAAGAACCATTTGGCCTATGCTCTAAGTATCTTTCTCACTAAAAGGAAAAATAATGAGATCTGCACTTTGACAAACTCCAAGAGCAATGGTTTATCTTCAAAATCAGAGCCAAACCTGTAAGAATAGAAATTTCCTGGACCCTCAATATTTAGGTTTGCATGTTTTGTTTTGGGGTTTTTTTAAGCAATACTACAGTATTAATTCCTTTTCTGTTTTTTATTCATTGCTCAAGAAAAGGTACTTTTAGTACCTTTAGGAAAAGCTACTTTAGAAGAAGTACTGTTTAGTACTTTTGTCATTAAAAAATCCTAATACGCACAAGTGTAACTATCTTGCATAACACACAGGTAAAATGTGTAGTATACTTCAATATATTTTAAATTAAGTGACTTTGTAAGAATTAAAACTATTGTAATCAATGACTCTTTTATATAGCTCATGACCAATATAGTTCTTATTTTGTATTTTGCCACCGTATCTTCATGATGCATTGGCCAAGTACAGTTGCATAGGGGTACTAAAGAGAGCACTGAACAAGCACTAGTTAAACCATCCCCATCAAAAACTGATCAAAACTGCAGATGCTGTGG